CAACTGGGATCGACAACAAGACTTTTGTCAGGTTGTATACACAGTACATAACGTGCATGTGAGACTCAACTCATTTTAATACACTATACACTGACTGGAAAAAAGTCACTGTTTGGATTAAAGCAAACAAATAGTTTAGGGAGTAATTGTTGGTCACCGTTGGTTGAAATAACATGTATATATTTACAGCCTGAACAGTCAGATTTTTTGCAATGTCATCAAGGAATATGAAAAAGAGTATAGATAATTGTCCTATTTAAAGATGACTTCATGTAGTTATTCTTTTTTGAGTGAGATGCTAATGGTCTAACCTGATTCAATGATTTATGCTAAGCTAAGCTAAAAGTGCTCCCGCCAGAAACTCCACTGTTTTATTACAATGATATGACTATTCAGATATGGTTGCTTATAAAATATAACCGACATGCACTGGATCTGTTAAAGGTCAGTTAAGACCTCAGGTGAGTCGTATATATAGACCTTATATGTACAATATACACCTTTTTACTCCAAAGGAAAAAAAATACAAAAGGAAAACACCAAACAATTTTGTAATATAGTCAAAAGTGCCTTTCAGGCAAAAGTTCAGCAGCCTTTCACTACATTTGTTCTACTTAAAAGGGAAATGCTAATTTATTTAATTTATTCCCACGCTGTACAACTCAACAGTCAACTTTATCAAATAATTCTACTCACTCTATTCAAGTTAATTCTACTCACTTGAAAAGAGTTTTGAACGCAGTGTTGAAGGTAATGAGTTAATTAAAAACCTCATTACTTCAACTTAAACGGAGTAAGTTCACAGTACTCCTATAGATTAGTTTTTTACTCAAATGGTTTATAGCAAATCAGTTTCCACAACTAGTTTGAGTTCTCTTCATTTATTGGGTTTTACTGTGCTAAAATTGCTTCGTTTACTCAAATGGATTAAGTTCACAGTAGGGTTGGGCGATGTCGACCAATTTGGCATCGTATGATGTCTAATGTAAAACATCGCGATGGACGATGGCATCGTCATCATAGGCGGAGGTAAATAATTAATTAATTCATAACAAATTAATTATTTGTAGTCTACTGTTTCAACTAGCTGGCCTGCATGCTCTTTGTTTTACCCGTAAACAAATCATAATTAAATAAAGATAAGTTGCACACAAATTACCACCTGTCAATCACTTTTTCCGCGGGAGGTTGGTTGGTAAAAAAGGTGCACAACCAGCAGTATCTGAGGTTTTAAGTAAAATGATTAAGTACAAGTGTGAAAGTGAAAGACTGAAGTAGTGTACTGATGCTGTGACACGTTACCTGATAGTTTCAAAAAACCGAAGAGTCGTTAAATAGAGACAAGATCAATTAAATATCACGTTTAACAACTATAATGAGACGCGATCCAGTGTGTGTGTGTGTGCGTGTGTGTGGTCACGTGATGTGCGTTTTCAGCGGACTGAGGGCTGTTCAGAAATGCTAGGTAAAACACGGTGTGGATGTGGATCATTTTCGTCCTTAAATGCCATTTTAATAGTAAGACGTATTAGACTAAATGGGGCCTAAGTGTGTACTTTTCACGAGCTGGTTTGTGACAGGGGCGAGGCGGAGGATTGGCGATGCCGGCTCTGCATCGTGTTGTCTATTGGCCATCGGCGATGGATGATGGCATTATCTATCGGCCCAACCCTAGTTCAAAGAACTCATTAGGATTAGTATTTGAACTTAAATGGTTTGTTGCATCTGGTTTCCTCAAATGGCTTGAGTTACCTTAACTTTTTGGGTTTTACAGTGTGTGTATATTTATTTAGTCATTTATTTATTAATTTATGCATTCATTCATTCATTCATTCATTCATTCATTGTTATGTCAATTCTTTTCAGTGTAAACTTATTACTTATGTATAAATGCCAAAAACTTAATTGTGAATATATACAATATACTATCTAATGATATTTAAGTTATGTATTTGTCATTCATTACAAATTATCGATGCTGTATTTCATCCCATTTCATTCCTATGAAGTACAGCAAATATTATGAATATTTGAGACATACTGAGACACGGAAAATAGTATTTCATCTGACCTTTATCTGTTTTACTAGTTAAATAAACATAAATGTTTCTAATTGACCAATACGCCAGGAGTCCTTTAAAAAAACAGATGACAGAATCTTTTTTTTTCTCAGTTTTCTTTCTTTCTTTCTGTCTGTCTATTTTTCACTCGGTGCCTCTGTTATGTAACACAGTCCATTACATCTGATCTGAGAGAACCAAAAGCCAGCGATATCTGTCACTGGAGGACAACCAAGAGAACTCGACACACATACACGCTACACACATAGAGAGATGCATATAGGTCGAAAGCAACACACACAAGCCAGTAATTAGACACCAGTGTTGAAAATTACTGGCAATATTAGTTACATCATTTTCCAAACAAACAACAAATGTTATCAAATGGTTACCAAAAGGTCATTCTAATGAGAATAATCTGAACAGTTCATGAAAAAGTACCAATCTTAAAAGATGCAGTCAACAAAGCAGGGTGATTTTTTAATCATTTAAAGCTAAATATTTAGTTAAAACATTTTTTCTCAATTTAAATTACTTGCATGCTAATTGACTGTTCTTAAATTATTAAAGGAACACTAAACATCTTTTTGAAAAATTCGGCTCATTTCTCAAGTCCCCTAAAGTTAAAAAGTTTTACCATTATTTAACCTGGTCAGCCTATTTCTCCTTGTCTGGCAGGAGTACTTTAAAGCACTTTTAGCTTAGCTTAGCATAAATCATTGAAGTAGATTAGACCATTAACATCTCGATTCAAAATGTCAAAAAAGAGTGTGGATAATTGTTCTTTTTAAAGCTTTACTCTCCTCGTAGTTATTCTTTTTTTACATTTCTGAGCTAGATGCTAATGGTCCAATCTGATTCAATGATCTATGCTAGGCTAAGCTAAAAATGCTCCCGCCAATCTCTCGAAAATGGCAAAATCAACAGTTTAATCCTAAGGGAGTTGAAAAATTAGCCTATCTTCCAAATAAAAGCGGAGGGATTCTTTTAAAAACAAAGAGTAGCATGAAGTTTTCAAAGCTTCTCTAACAATGACAGACACACAATGACACCTCTTAAAAGAAACACACACACACACACACACACACACACAAGTCACTTCTCGCATTGCCTGACCACAGACTCATACATACACTGTAAAACATCAGCAACAATCAAGGGTTATAAGCATTAAAAACATCAGTCAAAACTTATTATTTAATTATTACTCGCATTTAATAACTGTTGGCACAAGAGGTTAATTTCATTAACATTGACTACAGTTCAATAGTTTGGAGTCAGTAAGAATTTCTTTTTTATGTATTACAGATTGCATATTCTTTATCTTTTTCGTTGAGTGTGAAAAGCAAAAGTTAATTGAGGAGGATTGTGAAACCGTGGAGGGAATATATACACTCACCGGCTTTATATACACTCACTCACTTTATTAGGTACACCTGTCCAACTGCTGGTTAATGCAAATTTTTTGCATTAACTTAATGCATTTAGGCATGTAGACATGGTCAAGATGATCTGCTGCAGTTCAAACCAAGCAACAGAATGGAGAAGAAAGGTGATTTAAGTGACTTTGAACGTGTCATGGTTGTTGGTGCCAGAGGGACTGGTCTGAGTATTTCAGAAACTGCTGATGCACTGGGATTTTCCATGCACAACCATCTCTAGGGTTTACAGAGAATGGTCCAAAAAAGAGAAAACATCCAGTGAGCAGCAGTTCTGTGGGCACAAATGCCTTGCTGATGCCAGATGTCAGAGAAGAATGGCCAGACTGGTTCCAGCTGATAGAAAGGCAAGAGTAACTCAAATAACCACTCGTTACAACCAAGGTATGCAGAAGAGCATCTCTGAATACCAAATACCTCCAACCTTGAGGCGGATGGGCTACAGCAGCAGAAGACTGAGTCTCGATGAGTCTCGATTTCTGCTGCAACATTCCAATGAAAGGGTCAGAATTTGGCATCATCAACGTGAAAGCATGGATCCATCCTGCCTTGTATCAACGGTTCAGGCTGGTGGTGGTAATGTAGTGGTGTGGGGGATATTTTTTAGCACACTTTGGGAGCATTAGTACCAATTAAGCATCGTGTCAACACCACAGCCTACCTGAGTATTGTTGCTGACCATATCCATCCCTTTATGACCACAGTGTATCCATCTTCTGATGGCTACTTCCAGCAGGTTAACAAGCTTGAATTCTCTCAGACTGGTTTATTGAACATGATAATGAGTTCACTGTACTCAAATGGCCTCCACAGTCACCAAATCTCAATCCAATAGAGCGCATATAGGATGTGGTGGAATGGGAGATTCACATTAAGAATGCGAGTCAACAAATCCCTAGCAACTATGTGATGCTATCATGTCAAAATGGACAAAAAACTCTGAGGAATTTTTCAAATATCTTGTTGAACCATGTTGTACCTTGTATGCCATGAAGGATTAAGGCAGTTCTGATGGCAAAAGGGGGTCCAATCTCGATACTAGTAAGGTGTACCTAATAAAGTGGCTGGTGAGTATAAAAGTATTGGGTAAAACCCAGAGAACTTTGGCAGATGATTCCCACCCAATAACTATCACTAACTCCTATAAGTAAAACAAATCAGTTTAAATATTCATTAATTTCCTCAGCTGTAAAGTTTTTACACTTATTCATGTTTTCCTTTTGTTTAATGTGTTTTATTGTACTATGTTACATGCTTGTACTGTATGCTGCAACCGAATTGCCCTCGGGAAATGAATAAAGATGAACTGAACTAATCCACATGTCTCAGCTGACCACATGTGATCAGATCCCAGAAAGTACATGTTAATTCAAGGTGGAAATGTTCCTAAATAAATGTTTTCTTGCTTATCACATGATTTTTTTAAATAGAAACTCATACAAACCCCAAACTGTAAATGCATTTGCAAATACATAAACATAAACGTAAATATCTCCATTACCTTTCTCACTGACTGACTCGCTCTCAATCTCCACATCCTCGCAGCTGGTGTACTCGGGCGTTGTGGCCAGTTCCTCCTCAGAGCTGCTCAGTGAAACCTGCCTCATTTTCCCGCCTCGCTTTGTCTTGTGAGGTTTGGGTGGCGGCGGCCTGACGGACTCCGATTGGTCGGAACTGAGCGAGTCGTTCCTCAACATGCTCTCCATCTTTTCCCTTTTACTCTTCCGTACAGCCGAGACGGGATCCAGGAGCTGCTGCTGCCGGTGGGCCGAGTCTGTGCCAGGGGGACTGTGGTTGGACCTCCAGTGCGTTTGTCCGGAGCCCGGTGAGTAGTGTGGACCCCGCAGAGGCCCCAGGGGCTCTTCCATCTCAGTGTACGCCAGGGAGACATCACTGTGCCGCCGTTCATGCCTAAATCTGGAGACCTGATGAATAAGAAGAGAGGTCATTGAAGTGAAATAGTGACACTTTTTTCGTTGTTGCTGTTTTAACTTCTGTATTACATTGTAAAAAATGCTGGGTTCCACACAATCCATTTGTGTTGGGGCAACAAGAAAAAAATTAAGTTAACTTAGTATGTTGGCTTGAGAAACTACTTAAAGGGGCTTTAAGTAAGTTTTTGACTCTTCTAAAGCATAAACATACCATAATATGTTTGCTGAAATTTAGGAAACATGCTAAGTGAACATTCTTGTTCATCTGAAAAACGATGCTGATTTTCTGTTATGAAAATGTGTTTTCCATGCCAGAACGATAGTCTTTGTTTTGGTCTTTAAACCCACCCAATGCCACTTAAGCCAATTATATTTTAGCACCCGAGTTGCCTCGGTGGAAAACAGTGTTATTTCATTGAGAAAGGCTCTCAAAGCATGCACCTGTGACTGAAATGCGATATACGGTGGACAGTAGCAAACTACAAAGTGAGATGCAGATTCAGAGTTCCACATGAGGTTGTTAATCAGCAAATAATATAAATATTCTGAATGTAAACATTAGGTGAGCAGGTAACATTGTAACCCCGGGTCCTAACAACATGCTACGTGATGAGATACGCGAGAAATTATTAAATGTGCATGCTGAATCACTGATATATGTTGGTTTGCATTATTTCACAGTTCTAGTTCAATTTTAAACGGTTTATTTTATTTTCAAGATCTGAGGTGAACTATCGCTGCGCTTTCATGGTAATAAATGTCATGTAGAATGGCATTCAAACTCACATTGTTAGCATGTAACACTGAATAAAGCACATGAGGTGTACCTGAGGTGATCAGTTTATCCTGTTGAAGCCGTTTCTAATATATCAATTCGAGGTGTTGTTTAGCGCATAAACTCCTTTCAATATGGAAAATATTTCCTCTTTCACCTGCCATTGCTTTAATTTAAAACACGACTTAAGTCAGACTCGCTCCTCAATCTGGCAAACTGCTCTTGCGTTTGTTTTGATTCAGGAATGTAATACCTAGTTCAACCACTGGGTATCAAACTTACATACTGCATATTATTCTGTCTTCTTAGACCAATTCTATCTCCTAATTCTTTACTACAAGCCCCAAATTTGGCCAAAAGATTCGATCTGCATTATATTTCGTGGATATATATTTTCACTTTTATTAGAGTTATGGTTTTCCAAAAAATAATTTTTAAGCATTATAATTTTCAAAATATGGCAAATCATTTTTTACTTAAAGTGATATGAAATGAGAACTGCAGAGTCCAGCATTTTTAATTAGGTCATCACTTATTCAGCTCCCTTTTAGCCAAAGATGTCTGCGGTTGGCATCAAAAGCAGTGTGGTGTACGGTAAAAGTTACGTTTTCTATTTTTGGAATTTAGCATCCTACTGCCCAACAGGACACTTTGCTATTGCAACCGGGAACCTGTTTGACATCATGTGTGACGTAGGTTGGTAATTCCTCAATTAGAACTGTCATTCCAAAATGGCCACTGCATGACATTAGTGGCTGTTTCCAAAACAGCAACAGCTTCTTAGTGATTCTATGCTCTTTGGTATTGGCTCGTTTGATTCATGCTAGAAAAATGGGACTTGACCCACTTTTTCCATGGTAACAATGATAAGCCAAATGCTAATAACGATAAGCTACATGTTATTAATGATTATCTAAGTGCAATATCATAGGCTAGTGTAACCCCGCCGGTCCTACACCACCCAACCCGCTCCGAGTTAGTATCGAATCTGCGACCTTCCGCATGGGAGTCGGTTGCTCAAACAAGGAGGCTAAACACCATAGCCTATAGCGTCTGTCGCTAGACCACCTTTAGAGGTCATAGGAGTGAGGTTTACCTGCATAGCACTTACTAGCCTCTGTTACACTAGAAATGCTTACTAAGTATTAGGATTTGATCAAACATGTAAATGAGGGTTGCCGATTAGCAACCCAGTATACGTTAGCAAATGCTTAGAAACCACCTAGCAGTGCCATAAACAAATTAGCAAGTGCCTAGCAATCGCTGTGCTTTCTGCCTACTTACATTCCCAGTCCTAAAGCAGTCACATTGGCTTTCTCAAGCCAACATAAAAGTTTGTCAATGGACTTCAGGTTCTAGATAGTTTTTACAAATTTATGTAGATTGAGCTTAAAAACAATCTAGTTAACCCCCAAAAAACTCAACAACTATGTTCCCTGCTGAAAAATCCAGCCTAAACCAGCCTAGGCTGGTTGGCTGGTTTTAGCTGGTTGACCAGCCTGGTTTTAGAGGGGTTTTGGCCATTTCCAGGCTGGTTTCCAGCCGTTTTTCTGTAGGGTTGTTTCAGCTCATTTTAAATAAGTAGATTGAAGAAACAACAAATTTCTTTTTCTTAAAAAGTTAAGATGCAATATAAATACTGTTAAAATAAATTAATAAATCTGGAGACCTCCGCGTGCATGCGCATCTGCTCCTCGTAGGGCTGTGGTTTGACAGGGTATCGAGCCAGGTTTGGGTCACTGCGGTAGCGGTTCTGGTACTCCTCCTGCCGCTGGCGCTGGAGCTCGTGCTCGCTGAGGGGTGGTCCATCGGGTAGGAAGCCAGGTTCGGGTGGGTATTCCTCCTGAGAGTGCCAGCCGCCCCGTCGAGCCCGGTACGCCCCTCGCGCTACCTCCGCGTCCTCATAGGAGCGCCCGCAGCCTCCCCGCCACTGCCGATCTCCGGCTCCATAGTCAGACGGCGATCGTGGCATGCCGCCCTCTCCTGGTGCATACTGCGAACGATCCGCCTTCTCCTCCCTTTGGTTGTATTTTTGGTTTGGATCCCTGGTTGCGGATGGGCTTCTTTTCCTGTGGGGCACAAAGAAAAATAACATTGTAGTAAGTCTGTACAATATATTGTTTCCGCATTGATATCGCAATGTGCACATCAGCAAAAGTCACATCGAAGGGGATTGTGTCATAAGAGTGCAAAGAACTCTGGGTATTTAGGACATAATAGCCTGATTCCCATTGATCTCTATTGATTTATTGTGTCATATAAACACTCAACAGCAGTAAACGAAGTCCTCCTCACACTACAAATGCTGAAGAAAATCCAATCTGGAACTATTTTCTTGTGGCAGCTTGTTGATACCCTGTCAGTTAAGGATAAAGTCGTTTATTTAATTGATCCAGTATTCTGTCAATTTGTCCCACCTCGTCAGACTGTCCAATACCTCGCATTCAAAAAGTAGGTAGCACATTTTGATGACACAATATGCAACCCATCAGATTTTGCTAGCGGTGTAATTTTTGATGTGGAGTAGTTTGATTTTAAGCTGTAATATTGCCCTAATCTACCTAATCCCTAGCCCCAACTTCAGAACCATTCAAATACAGTGTATCAATACATATTATCAGCTTCTCAGACACCTAAACAGCTTTTATAAAGGTATATACAAGTTAGTCCATTTTATTTGTAAGAAGTTTTTCAGAAGATATTACTATAAAACTACTACAGGCAATATTACTTTAAAAATTCGAATCAAGGCACATCTAAATCAAGACTTAAAACACATCAATTTAGCTGCACCTTTACTGGTGTGACAGATTGCACTATTGTGTCTTTCTTTTCTTCTTCCTTCCTGTAAAGCAGTGGTCACTAAACTTGTTCCTGGAGGTCAGGTGTACTGCAGATTTTAGCTCCAACCCTAATCAAACACATTTAAACAAGCTAATCAAGGTCTTGCTAGGTATACTTGAAACATCCAGGCAGGTGTGTTGAGGCAAGTTGGAGCTAAACCCTGCAAAGACACCGGCCCTCCAGGACTGAGACCGGTGACCCCTGCTTTAAAGCATGTTTTAGCACATTTCAATGTTATTATCGTTTTTAATCATTGTTATTCTTCGTTGTTTTTATTCTTATACTTGTTTCTTTTATTTTGCTTTATGTAAAGCACTTTGAATTACCACTGTGAATGAAATGTGCTATACAAACAAACTTGCCTTGCCTTAAAACGGTTTTGTGATTTGCATCTGTTTACATTGAGCGCTCCTGCGTTTGTCTACAAACATGGCCTACCGTAACTTTTATCAAATTTTATTTATTTAATTATTTTGACTTTCAAAAACATAACAATTTAGGGCAAACTCAATCAAAACATAATCTTGCACAAACTGAGTGAGACATGTCAGATATACAGTGAATCAAATACAAAACCATAAAATTACATGGCCGACCGTAACTTGCTTAGAAAGTTTCTTGAGCTCTTTTATAGTCAAACAGCTTCACAGTTCAGAAAGCAAGAGTCACTGCAGAGTTTGACCATAATTGATGAAGAGTTTATCATCTGCATGTGTTTTTACACCCTGTGACTGTGTAAGCATCTTAAAGCAGGGGTGTCCACACTTGGTCCTGGAGGGCCAGTGTCCTGGAGAGTTTAGCTCCAACCCTAATTAAACACACCTGAACAAGCTAATCAAGCTTTTAATAGGTATACTAGAAACTTCCAGGCAGGTGTGTTGAAGCAAGTTGGAGCTAAAGTCAGCAGGACAACGGCCCTCCAGGACTGATTTTGGACACCCCTGTCTTAAAGCATTCAAGGACAAGAAATTGTGTGAAGAAATTCTGCTGTGAAGAAAATATAAAACTGTGTATGGAAAGCACCGTCAATGCACCATGATGCACCGAGATATCGAATTGAACCGAATTGATGGCATGATAATCGTAACCGAACCAAACCATGAGACCAGTGTAGGTTCACAGCTCTATTATATTTGTGTGTGTACTGCAAATGGCATTTGTGTGTGACTCATCATTTCAGAGAGGCTTGAATAAACTCCACCACAAATACATAAAATAAACTTACTTTGTATTTTGAACTAATGAACTGTATTTCAGCTTCATCCATGTCTGTCTCTATCACTGCCTGATGTTTATCTAACGTGATGCAGGAGAAGCAGACACACACTTGGCAGAGGTGGGTGGGGAGAAGCAGCTCATTTGCATTTAAAGCCACAGGCTACGATAACAGCTACATTGTAATTAGACACCAAAATGGGGAGATTTTGTTTTATATAATAAATAATCAGATGGCTATTTGACCTGAAACTTTACAAACATATTCTGGAGACACCAAAGTCTTATCTTACATCTTTTAAAAGGGGTAAAATAGCTGCCCTTTAAGTCTCCTCAGACTAAAAAAAGTACAACCTTTTAGATAAATTTGACCATGTTTACATACTGAATGTTCTCTTACACTGAAAAAAATATTCAAAAATGATTCCCTGAATTTACTAAAATATTTTAAGTTAAGTGGTTGTAAACAATTTGTTTGGGTTGGATTTAAACAGACAAATTAAATTGAACAATACAAAATGTAATTTGTTTGATTAAATTCAACACAAATAAATTGTTTGCAACAATTTTGCAGACATTTTTTTGTTGTTTTAGTGTATGAGCTGGACATGATGTTAGGACACTGTTAAACAACAGTTGTGTGTTTTCTTTCTGCAGGTTTCATGCGACGTTTTGTGTGCGGTTCGCATATCTGGGGAAATCCCTGAGCTGGTTTTAAATGTCCTCATGAACTGAAGATCTTTCAATATCTGTGAGCGGTAATTGAGCATTTTTGTGAACAGATTGATTAATGATCAACTCTCCTCATCCTCTTGGCTCGGCTTTGAGCTTTTACTATGACTGGTGTGTACCCTGTTGCATTATTCAATAGCAGCCAGACACTGTCAAGCACCATTCACAAATACAGAGCACAGGCATGTTTGTGACTGTGTTTGCATTTTCTGTTTCAACTTGGGAAGATGAGTCGTTTTAAGATGTATGAACCTAATATACTGTATGTGATACTGTAATAAACAGCCAGCGTTAGTCTTTATTGTTTTAACAAAATAAATTCGAATAAGATTCTTTAGATGCTGCAAATAATTAATGACATTTCTTTGAAAATTAGAATAAAATGACAAATGGTCAAATCAACCAAAAGATGCCATGATTTCAGATGTTTGTATTAATTTTTGGACAACACAATGACAATATTTTAACTTCAGAAGAGTTTAAATAAAATTAAAGGTGCAGTAGGTGATTGTTTTCAAAAGCATTTTTTTGTTGTGCTGGTTGAAAGTCTCTTCACAGTCCAATAGTAATGATTACAGTAAATTATCTAAATGTGTTTATATGGATTTTTATATTCTAGGTAAAGCATAAAACAAAAAAAATTTCATCCAGTTAAATATTGTCGGACCGACATCTCCCATAATTCCGATAAGCAGCTCAGACTGTCTGTCAGCAAGTGTAGATTCGGACTTCTGCGCATCTGTTCACGCAGATACACCATTCGCATGTGCCTGTCTGCAGAAGCGCCGCGCGGTTATGAGACAGACCGGGAGAAATCAAATACTAAATTGAAACTTTTAAAAACCTAAATCAATATTGGAGTTACTTTAGCACGCTGGAGGACGGACGACACCATGGCTGAAGTATTACAGTTAGACAGGTAATGTTCTGTTCTAAGACTATTTTAGTCAGGCTTAGCTTATGTTAGATTGTGTTGTTATGAATGACTTATATGTACAGACGTGTTGTTTAGCCACTGAAATCTCCCGGTGAAAGATTGATGTGATTATTTTCAGTTTCATTAGGTCCTTTTACAGCATTGATAATGTGGACATTAACAACAAAACACCAGTAAATAGCGCTATTCCGCCTAACCTGCTTTATTGAGCTGAAGATGCTTTTATATTCACATTAGGTCATTTTTGAACAAGGACAGCCTTTCTGTTTACCATGCAACTCTGAATACTCGCTCTGAAATAGCATGTAAGTGTGGCTAAGTAATAAATGTAATTTCTTTGAATCACAGTCCTTTCCCGCCGTCCAAAGATAATATGCTAAGCGGTTAGCATTTTGGCAGGTCACCTACTGCACCTTTAATAAAAAAAAAGAAAAGAAAAGAAAAGAAAATAATATAATATAATATAATATAATATAATATAATATAATATAATATAATATAATATAATATTTAAAATAAAATAAAATAGACTAAAATAAAACAATATATAAAATATTAAAAATAATTAAAATGAAAAGAGAACAAAATAAAATAAAAATATATAAAATATAAAATCAATACAATATAAAAATTATAAAAACATACAATACAATATAGAACAAAATAGAATAAAATTAATTGTAAAAAAATATATACAAGATAAAAAATCTATATAATAAAGCATAAAATAAAATAAAGTAGAACAAAATAGAATAAAATAAAAAATATTTAAAATATAAAATTAATATAATATAATATAAAAAATATAAATATAAAATAAAAATAGAATGAAATAGAATAAAATTTAATTAAAAAATAAAACATAAAATCAATATAATATAAAAAATAATAAAAATAAAATAAAACAGAACAAATTAGAATAAAATTGAATAAAATATATATAAAATATAAAATCAATATAATATAATATAATATAAAATAATAAAAATAAAATAGAATGAAATAGAATAAGATTAAACAAAATATAAAAAATATAAAACGAATATAATATAAAATAATAAAAAAATAAAATAGAATGAAATAGAATAAAATTAAATTATATATATATATATATATATA